CTAGGGTCATTTGCCTCGTATACTCCGTTTATTTGGTTTGTGATAAGCAACGATTCACTAAGAGCTGCTAGTTGTTTTGCGCCAACCTCCTTGGCCAGCCTTAGTCCTGCCAGGAGTGCCTCATACTCTGCTTCATTGTTAGATACTTGGAAGTCGAACCGCGGTGCGTAGGTGATCTCTTCGCCTTTGGGGCTTTGGAGGATCAGGCCTGCGCTTGAGCCTTCTTTGATTGTTGTGCCATCGGTATACAACTTCCAAAGTTCCTTGCCGACTTTAGGCTCTAATGGGTTGACAGAGATTGTCGTCGGCACTCCCTTGATGGTATCTGGGATTTCAACCAGGAAGTCGACAAGGGCCTGGGATTTGATGTTGGTTCTGGGGTGGTACTGGATGTCATGTTCACCCAACTCTATGGCCCACTTGGCTAGGCGTCCAGACTTTTCCGGCTTTAGCAGCACTTGTTTTATTGGGTAACTGGTCAGAACATCCACCTTGTGGGCTTGAAAATACCTCCGTAAACGTCTCACTGCGTAGACCAGGGCGAGGACCATTTTTTCCAAGGCCGGGTAATTTACTTCTGGCCCTTGCAGCGCCTACTGACAAAATGAATGGGGATTTGCTTGCCTTCCCTTTCCACTGCTAACACATAGGATATAGCCTCCTCAGACGCTGCTAAGTACATCTGTAGCGTCTCCCCTGGAAGTGGGCAGGCGAGAGTCGGGAGTTGCTGCAGTGCGTCTTTCAATTTTTGCAAGGCCACGTCTGGTTCCGCTGTCCATTTAAATTGTTTTTTGTCTAAGCATCCTTTGAGTGTTTGGTACAGAGGAAGCGTCTTCTCTGCGGATTTGGCAATGAACCTTCCAAGAGCCGTTAACCTACCGTTGATCTCCTGTGCTCCCTTAAGGTTGTGGGGAGTATTCAACTCGAGGAACTCTTGTATTTTGGTGGGATTGGATAGGATCCCTTCCCTGGTCACCTGATATCCAAGGAATTTCCCTTCCTCGACTCCAAAAGTACACTTAGCCAGATTAACTTCATTTGCGCTTTGACCAGCGTTTTGAAGGTTTCTTCCACGTCTTGGAGTAACATCTCTTCATTGCGGCTTTTAATTACCATATCGTCGACGTACACTTCGATATTCCATCCAATTTGGTTGGCAAATACCTTGTCCATTAGCCTCTGGTAAGTAGCACCCCCGTTTTTTAGCCCAACTAGCATTTTCTGACAGCAGAAGGTGCCCTTTTCGGTATGGAAGACTATTTTTGCTTCATCTTCTCGCTTCATCTGCACCTGGTGATAGCCCTTATATGCGTCGAGGAAACATTTGAATCGGAAGCCTTCAAGCGAGTGGACTTTCTTATCGATCTCCGAGAGAGGATAACAGTCCTTTGGGCAAGCGTTATTGAGATCTGAATAATCATGCCCATTCGCCATGCCCCATTGGATTTCTTTACCGTGACCACGTTTGCTATCCACGTTGGGAACATTACTTCCCTGAGTATGCCAGCACTCACCAGATCGGCCACTTCTGCGTTAATAGCCCTATTGCGGTCTGCCGCCTGTCCTGGCTTCTTTTGCTTTACAGGGTTACTCCCAAGTGCGATGTTGAGGCTGTGTTCTATGACCTGTCGATCGACGCTTGTCAGATCTGTTGGCTTCCAGGCGAAGACGGTGGAGTATTACCTCAGGAGCGCCACCATTCGTGCCTTGGGTTCGTCTGTTAAGTGGGCGCCGATTCACACGAGCTGCTCTGAATACTCCATGTTTATCTGGTGTTGCTCAGTGGAACATCCCTCCTTGGACTTCTTTGGTGCGCGCACGAGTTCTGGGGCGGCTATGATTTGGTGGCAATGTTGTGCTCTGGTGTTTGTGGCGAGGACCGCCGCCGATCCTTGGCGTGTGCTGAATTTAATGATGCCATGTATCGTCGATGGTACGAGATGCAGTAAAGCGATTGCTAGTCGTCCAAGCAGAATGTTGTGTTCTGTTGGGTATCGGATCATAGAGAATTCGACTGTCCTTGTGATTCGGTCCCTTTCGTCGTGGCTGACCAACGTTAAGGGCAGTCGAATGGTTCCTAGTGGCCACAAGCTATGCCCGGTGAATCCTATTAACGGTCCACTGGTTGAGGGTTGGAGCCCCTCCTTCCACATGTCAGGTAGCTGCCGGAAACAATGCTCATAGAGTATATCAAAGCAATTACCATTGTCAATGTATATTCGGTGGACCTTCGTGTTACGAATGAATCCTAATATGAGGAGTGGGTCTCGTGGATCCCATTTTGATGGTCTGGGATCACTGCTCGAGAAACTGATGTTGAGTAGGTTTCTTGAGAGTGCCTCGATCTCGTTTTCTGCGTGGTGAGGTGCGTTTCTCTTACGGAAGTTAGATATAATGAATACCTCAGTGTCGTCATATGGATTCGTCTCCAACATATTGGGATGTGATATCGCCATCTGAGGTGATGAGATATCCGATGACAATTGCCAGAAACTGCTCTAGAGCCCTGGTTCTGCTGTTCTTATCGTAATTGGCGGGATCTGTGTCATCAGCACCTGGAGTGGTTCGTGCGTTCTGAACAGAGCTTCTGCTGCTATCCCAGATACTGTTGGGCTTAGATCCCCCTTATGCAGGGAACTAGCATCATCTATTAGTTGTATCACTCTAAGGATACGTTCGGATGGCACCAAATGTTGTGACAAGTTCGCAGATGGTTTGGATACTGAAGGATGGATCTTACTTGGGTGCTTCCCTGAGAACACAATCACAAAAGAATCGTTAAAGTACGACCGAGTGTTCTCCCGGGACGTCGCTCCGACGATCAAGTTAGTTTTTTTTAGAGAGAGAGAGAGAGAAATTTTAGGGTAATCTTCATAAGAGAGAAGATGGGTCTCTTCCTTGAGACGGAAGAGATCCTGTTATACCTGTTACTAACAGATCACGGGGACCGTGTCTCGTGAGTGTGAAACGTGGCCTCCTCTTACTGGGAGAGCTATTCACGCTAACTAACCGCCAGGTGACGTTAGTTCTGGGCATCACCCGGTCTATTCGTTGCTTTCTCATTGGTTGTGAGTGAATGAGGAGATCACATGGAATGCTCTTCCCTTGTGACGAGAAATGAGTTGTCGCTCCGTCTTTGGCTCTCTTAGGCCAAGACCGGGTTTTAGCCAAGGTAGTAACGTCTCTGTTACATTTTCTGTTACATTTAACGTGGCCGTTAGGTAACATTAACAAGTAGTATTATGTTTTTTTCCCGTATCCACCGGTCACAATTATCCATAAAGCAAACAGCTTCAAACCTGTCTTTTGTGGAGTTTTTCACTTTATATTGGAAGCCTTAAATAACACTTTTTAATCTTAAGTTAAGCTTAAGTTGTTCTTTACTTTTAAAGAGTTGGAATAACTTCACATGGGAAGTATAATTGTGGGGTGTGGCACCTTTACGTTTTTGTTGAGCTAGTTCGGGCAATGGTAAAGGTTCAAGCATACCCCAATGGGTGGTTTGTGTTTCTTCAGAATCGTAAAAATAAAAAGGAAACTTTTCCTGTTGTGATTTTCAGGGTTGTTAGGGATCAGTATCTTCCTCTTCACCTTGAGTATCTTCCCCATCAAATTCAGTGTAACTCTGAAAATGTTCAACTGGATCTCCATATGGAATTATATTACCATCATCAACTAACATCATTATTTTTGCATCATCATTTGCAGATTCATCAACATCAACTGTAGGAGAAGCATCTGCAACAACCTTACATTTAGTCCTATAATCATCCCCATCTACAGGGCCATTATAAGAAGGAACATGGTTGGTTGTCATAGGTAATAAATTACACATTTGGTTACTTCCATCACCAGAAGACCTATTTCCACCAGAACGATTTTCCCCGGCAAATCGAAGAATACCATTTCCCATAACGTTACTAACAACAAACAATTATACTGTGTTGGGAGGCATACTACTAACAAAACTAAGAAAATATCTGACATCACTATCGTCTAGAATCTGCATAACTATATTTGATCCAGTACATTGAAAAGATAGACGTATTTGGTTAGTGTGTAACCTGGACTTGGAAGCAACCAACATAATTAACCCAACGAAGTTGATATCATTGCTTATATCTACATCAAAGCATGTGTAGTCTGGACCAATATATTGCATAGATTCTTCGATACGCTGCCATTTCCCTCCACTAGAAACTGGCACTCGAAAAAAACTAGTATAGGTACTCACTCTAGAACGTGTAATGAAGGTATCAAAAACACAAATATATTGCATATATGGAAATATATGGAACAAAAACACACAAATATCCTACTTTTAGTTCTCCGGAACAGACCTCCGGAATGTACGGTCATTCCGGAGTATAGTCCGAAATACACTTTTTCAGTACAGAATGTACGGGGTATCAGATTTTAGACTTAATTCCTACCAACCACCTACAACTCCGGAACGAAAATAAGCTCCAGAATATCGTATTCCGGAATACGTTGACCGACCCAAGTCCGGAATGTTCTTACGTGCTCCGGAATACATTATAAAGGAGAAAGTGGTCATTTTTCAAAAAAAAATGGTTACTATTAACAAACTCATTTATAAGGGTTGGTTTACTCAATTTCCATAATGTTAGGGTGAAACAAAATATTTAAAGTAAGACAATATTAATCTGATGATTAATCATCCGTAAACTTTTGACAATTAACTCAAACAAAACAAAAATATAAAAAAGTTCAGACTAACATCGTTCAAACAAATGTCATTATTTTATTTCAATATATAGAATATTGTTTTGTAGCTTATTATATCATTTTTGTTAAATAATTCCAATTTAAAATAAAATATCAGTATTTTATAGAAAAGTATCATATGTTTTTGTTTACAAAAAGTTTTAATTTAGGCTAGGTGGGGCGGGGCGAGTAGTAGTAGCGTATAAACAAGGAAGGGTATTGTTGGAATTTTGTATCTGGTTTCATCCCTTTAAAGCCCAAAAATTCTCCACGAAACAGAGCCAACGACTAGAGAGAGAGAAGAGAAAAGGAATTTTGAATTTTGTGAGAGAGGATGGCAGAATTGAGGGTGAATGTTGAAGAAGAATTATTATATTCAGTATCTGAGATTATATACTGCAGAATTTGTCACGAAGGAGAGTTCGAAAGTTGTAAAACCTTGGAAACTCCATGTTCTTGTTCTGGAACTATCAAGGTATTCTTGCTTCTCTGTCTTGATTATCATTTTTCTTTTTCACTATTAGGTATTATATATAGTTTCGAATTTAATCTGTGTTTTGAATTTTGATTGATCATCACATCACATCAGTTTGCTCACAGAGATTGCGTACAGAGATGGTGTGATGAGAAGGGAAACACTAATTGCGAACTTTGTCTCCAGGTTAGGTTTCTTCATTCATTCATTTCATGCTCCTCTTCTTCACTTTTAAAAAATAATAATAATAATAATAATCGGAAGTTGAATACTACGGTGGTTTGTTTGTTGTCGTTTTGGTTAAATTTCAATTCTCTGCCGGAGTCTCATCTGACATATATTTTGAATCGTCCGTCCCCAATACTGAATCGTATTGGCTATTGGCTTGCTGCCGTACATGTTAAATTTTGAACCACCAATGCTAGGAATAGATCCTTTTCTTTTCGTGTTGAATTATTCAAGAAAAAGTCTACAAATATGGACACGCATTGAATTTCGTCTCTACATACATATAACATATTAACATGTGTCTCGTTTTAACAAGATAAGGCAGAAGCATATTCAAATTCAGATTACTTAATTCATTCGTTCTTCCATTTGAATCGGTTTTCACCTTGAAATTCATTTCCTCTGCTGACTCACTGTTCATTCGTAAATATCGCGTTAATTTAAATTTCATTTTTCGCTATTTATTTGTTGATTATAACATATTATAAGTTTTTTTTTTTTTTTTTTTGAAAAGGTATATTATTAATTTTATAAATTATATATTATATTAATAAAAGGCTACTACTTTATTTGAACGTGTAATCAATGACGGAAGGAAGGTCAAATGGCATATACCCGACTTTTATGTCAAGAAATTAAATCTGTATATTCATGCATATTCCTTGTCAGCTATTAAAGATAAGTAATTTTCCTCTCATCTTCTTCTCTATTTTCCTTCTTTACTAAATTAATCATATGCTTCATGCATACTTTCTTCATCTTAAAATTTAGCTATCGATAATTCATCCAATAATCTGTTTTCGAATTTTAAACTGGCACACCTTTGTCTCCTTTTTATTTTGATAACAAAAAAAAGTAGCAACAAACATTGCTTTAGCAACCCATTTCCTGCATATATACATTACTTTTTCAAAGAATAAAATTTGAAAAGGAGCCTGTTACCTTCTTGAACAACAAAAATGATGCAATACAATGCATCCATCCATTTTTAGTATATATATCTTTTCAAAAGTATGGCGTGGCGTCTTTCCTTTTCTCTAAATTATAGACCCATGAAGTCCTTTTAAGAGATGATTTCAAAATTAAGTTTGTTAGTTTTCGATGCTATTTGTGAAGATGAAAATATTGCCATGTGACTTGTGAGATTGTTTATAAGTAGTTTGTATTAAACCAAAATTTTAACGTCATTCAAAACATAAAAGTATTTCGGTCGTTATGTTTAAAACTAAATGCACAAGACAATGAATTATTTGCTATAAATTATTGCAATTGGTTAAGAATTTCGTTGTGGAAAAGAAAAAGAAAAAGAAAAAGAAAAGGCATGTATTGTATTATGTATGTATGTTAGCAGCGACTGAAAAAGACGTGTACTTGTTTAACGCTGCAGAAATTTGAACCTGGGTACTCAGTCCCAACCCCACCCCCAAAAAAGGTCGACGACACTCGTGTCACAATTCGGTAATTACTCTTTGCTCAATCATCCTCTCTTTCTCTCTCTCTATATATATATTCTAACCAAACCACATTATTATTATTATTATTATTATTTGGACCACAGGTCTCAAATTTCTTTATCAGACAACTTTATTCTTCTGTTTATGTATATGTTTCTGTTTCTGCCGATATATTCATTAGACAACTTTAATTATATAATCAATCGATCCGATACCAAACCATGGTATGTATATGTCCTCTAATTAACCACGCCAACAAGCATATATGAATATGATATATGTGAAAGGAAATTGAATAAAAAATGTTATAATGTTAAGATTTCATTTGTTTGTCATTTTCTTACTTCTGTTTTCGTACGTATGTTTCAGTTGAAGTAGGTAACATCCACAAACATATCCATTTTTTTTTGTCGATATTATTATTAAAAATGGGTCTCACAACATAAAAATATTAGATAGATGACCAAACATATATATATATATATATATATATATATATATATATATATATATATATATATATATATATAT